GAGAGAGAGAGAGAGAGAGAGAGAGAGAGAGAGGGAGGGAGGAGAGGTCAGTGAAGAAAACAAAACGTGTATAGTCATAGAAATCTGACTTCACAACCATTAATTCTACCAAAATTCTTAACCCTTCCCATACTCCCTCCCACCCCACCCCCCTGTATCCAGTACGTCTTGAGTTTCAGAGCCTAGTGCTTTATTTCATTTTATTTTTTAGTTCGCAATAGTCATATAGTGACTTACATTATGCAACGAAGATGAAAACATTAATACTACTGCCTCAACCTTTGAAGCAGTCTGCAAGCCCCCCATCCCAACACCCCTACCCCAGTCCTTGGCCGTTGGGTGTTTGCGCCGCCGGCTAGGGCTGATTTTTCTGCGGGTCAGGAAGCAGTGAGCTGGCTGCGCAGCATCTCCCTTTCCTTTCCCGCTGTCCTTCCTCTCTACGCTCCTTACCCTTCTCCTCTCTCCTGTTTTCACGGAGCCGAGCGGCAGCTTGCTGATACCTAGTCCTTCCCTTCTCTCCCCCGACCCGCCCATCAAACAAAACCCAGCGAGACAGGCGCGCGCCGCCGGCGACACGGATGCAAGAAGCGGCCGCGCCGCCACGCGCTCGAACCGGAGCGGGACGGCGAGCGCGACCGCGCACCGCGCGTCCCCGCCGCTTCCTTCCCTCCCTACTCTTCCTTTTCCTCCCTCCAGGCCCATTCCCCTCCCGCTCCCGGAAGGCGCCTGCGCAGAGGCACCCTCTCCCTCCTCCCTCCCCGCCCTTCCTTCCCTCCGCTCCTCCTCCCGTGCTCCGCCTTCCTTTCTCTCTCGGCTATTTCACTGAGAGCTCCAGGTTGGGAGCAGTTCAGTCCGTTTCCCCGCTACCCCGCCCCCCTTCCTCTTTTCTCCCCACCCCTCCCATCTCCAGCCCGGTGGAGGATGAAGCGGCTGCAGTGGCCCCAGCCCCAGCAGCGGCACCGGCGGTGGCTGCGGTGGGGGTGGCCGGAACTGGGGTGGTGAAGCGGTGGCGGCGGCAGCGGCGGTGGCCCAAGGAGCGGCAGCTGCCCAGCCGCTTCCCCTGTGCTTCCCTTCCTCTTTAGCGCAGCCAGGAAGTTTTTCGCTTCTGTGCATGTATATGCGTGAGTGTGGGTGTATAGGTGAAGGTTTGGGCGGCGTTTGTGCAGGCGTTGGGTTTTTTGCCCACTTCGCTTCCCGTAACCCGGGCAGCTCGGGAGCCTGGGCTGTGGCCCGAGGAGGGGGCGCGGCGGCGACTCTCTCCTTTTGTTGTTGTTTCCTCCGCCTGGGGAGCTGAAGGGGGGCCGCGTCTGGGTGGGGCGGCTCGGAGCCCCGGCCTGGTGGCCCCCGGGGCTCCCGGGCGGGCCGGGTAGGGCAGAGTAGAGCGGACTTCAACATGATGGCGGCCGAGGCCGGCAGCGAGGAGGGCGGGCCGGTGACCGCCGGGGCAGCAGGAGGCGGCGCGGCCGCGGGCTCGAGTGCCTATCCGGCAGTGTGTCGGGTGAAGATACCCGCGGCTCTGCCAGTGGCAGCCGCCCCCTATCCTGGGCTGGCGGAGGCCGGAGTGGCAGGCACTGTGGGGAGCGGAGCTGCTTTGGGGTCAGGGTTCCTAGGAGCCGGGTCTGTGGCGGGGACACTGGGGGGAGCCGGGCTGTCAGGGGGAGGTGCTGCTGCTGGCGTGGCCGGTGCTGCAGCCGCCGGACCTGGTGGGGAGATGGCTCTCACCAAAGGGACCACTTCGTTGCCTGCTGAGAACTTCGGGGCAGGCGGCGGATTCCCTCCTCTGCCGCCTCCTCCTCAATTGCCCCCTTTGGGCGCGGGCCTGGGAACAGTGGACGAAGGCGACTCTCTGGATGGACCAGAATACGAGGAGGAAGAGGTGGCCATCCCGCTGACCGCTCCTCCAACTAACCAGTAAGTCCGGACCGCTGTTCGGGGGCGGGGGGGGGGCATACTCCTAATTTGTTGTGAAAAGTTTTGAAGCTTCAGGTTTTACGCATAGGGATTTAATTTGATCACTTATCTTCCCTCCGGGCACATTCCCTGGCGTCCTCTGGGAAGATGTAAAGTTTTTAAGATGGGAAGCATGGGAAAATGTGGATCAGGTGACAACCGGATGTGGTTCTACCCCTGCTCAATTGAGGTGGCGTCCTGGGATTCAGCTGAGCTGGCAGCTACCAAGGCAGTCGTAGTCTTATAGTACTAACTGGTGTGTGCCCTGTTGAAGCTGGGTGATTAATTAGAAGCTTTGAATACAAGTAGTATTTGAATGAGTGTTGTACTGATATCATTTGAAACACGCCTTGGCCAGAATGCTTTGTTTTTGTTCCACAGCAAATCCTAACTTCTGCCTGTTGAAAAGCATAGTGATGCAAAAGTTTTTGGATCACTTACGAAAACCTGTGTCCGTGAGAAAGGACAGGAGTTCTTATGAATTACAGGTGTGATTAAGGGCCAGTGCTCCAACAGTATCTGTAACTTGTGCCATTGAATCCCCATTTATTAATATTAGTGCCATTCTGTTATAGTTGATACTTTGTAAGTACAACATTGAAGTAAAACAAAATTAATAGTGTGTTTCCCTTCAACACTTTTTGCCGGTGACCAATACAGTATTTTATTTCTAAATTAATTTTTACAGTCTGCAGAATATATAGAACAAATGACTTTTCTATATCAAGTTAGTACCTTCCTTTTGTTATCTTCATAATTGAACTTAGGTATGTGTTAACATATAAAGGTGGACCTTGATGAGAAGAAAATGTTGATGGGAAATGGTGATAGTAGGCACAACTTGTATAGCTCTCTCGCCTCTGTCCTAATAGACCTTTAGAATTTCTACAACCTTGGGGAATATGCTGACAGTTACTCTGGACATTTGAAGGTATTTAAAAAAATTTTTTTTTTTTTGATAAGCTGCTTTGGAGTATTTAGAAAGAACTTTAAAAACGAATTAGGAAAAGATTCTGTAATACTAACTCATTTTGACTTAAAGCTACATCTTTTGATACTTAGGTAGAAAAGTAAAGGTTAGTCTTATGTCAGTCATGGTATAGGGGTGTTGCTTCCCTTTATGTTCAAAACAAGTCCAATTTTCTTTATCTAATTGTATTCCAACTATGTCAGATCTGTGTTTTGCAGACTTTTTGAAGGTGTTCTGAGAGTGTTAAGAATTCAAATTTTACACACTGTTTACATACCTTCAAACCTTTTTGAAAAAAATCAGTTAAATATAAAGTACCCACTACATACTCGGCACTATAGTTACAATAAATAAAGTACAACTTTTCATATTGAAAGACTATATTCTTTCAATTAGGCATATTTAGTATATTGCAGTTTTAATTTTTTTTACAAATAGAATTTATTTCGTAGAGCAATTTTAGATTCACAGCAAAATTGAGCAGAAAATACAGAGCATTCCCATTAAATATTTTGTAATAAACCTGAATAAGTACATAAGAAAATTGTGTTTGTGAGTTTATTGTGTGAGATTTTCATTATTGTATGTATTTGAGAATAAAAATATTTGTGTGACTATGTATGAGATTTGTTCTATTTCTAAAAAGCATCCCCCATTTCTAGTATGTTTTTTAAATTTCCCACTGAGAAGTACAAATTTCCCTCTTTATCTTAGACATCAACCCAGAGTCACTGGAGGCAATACAGTGTAGTGGTTAAGCATGCAAATTCTGAAGTTAGACAAGATTTGGGTTGGAATCCTGACTACCACTTACTGTGTGATCTTGGAAAGGTCAGTGTCCCCATCTGTAAAATGGGGATAATAATGGTACCTTCCTCATATGGTTGTTTTTAAGGTTTAATGAGAACCCTGAACAAATTCAGTACAGTGCCTGGCACATAATAAGTGTTCACTAAATAGTCTCCCCAAATAATAATAATATAACTTTATTGTCATTAAATTGTCTACTAATTAGCTATTTTAGAGAATAGCTTCAAATAGCTCTCTGTGTCTGTTTTGTACTCCAAAGGCCTATCTACAATGATTAATTATATTAAAATTTTTAACTTCATAAAGGCTTCCATCAAGTGCAGCAGGTTTAGAGATAAAATTCAAGTGTTTTCTATAAATTCCTAGTTTTAAATGAGGAAAAGGTCTTAATGACTTGGTTGAATAATGTTAACCCTTTCATGAAAGTACTGAAGAAATGTTTTTGGATTAAATTAATATTTGATTACTAGTGACTGGTCGTCTTAGTTATTGATAGTGTGATATTAAGGATGTTCGGGTAACAGGATTGAATCCACAGTAGTTTGTTAGGCTAGGGCTCCCTGGTCATTGAGTTTAACCTTGTATTCAGCTAGTTTGGTGCTGTTGATCACAAGAGAGTCAAAGAGAGTCAAGTGACAATGTGTAGATCGACTAGTGCAAATGTATTAATGCTACTAGTATTTTGTACCTTGTTTTTCTGTGTGCATGGTGAATCATTAGTCTCGTTTATTATTGCTCATTTTCATTAGTTTGGTTAAGGCCAGAAAAGTTGGTATAATTTTAACTATTAATATTGCATTTATTTGAATATTTTCCTTTTTGCAAGTTTTGAGGAAACAAATTTTAAAAAGAAAAAAAATTCTCTCCATATATTTTTATGCTACAAAAGGTTCTGTATCTAAAACTGCTAACAGGTTTCTTTTTCAAGACAGAGAAAGTTAAATTAAAGGAGTTTGTCACTGATTACTCCCTGTAATTTTATGGAGCTGCTTTTCATGGTTCTTGATATTTCTTTCTCTCTTCTGTAGAGGTGAGGGGTGATAGTGAAGGAGTATTGTTCCCTGACTTCACCTTCAGTTTTATCTATATAGTTTTTTTGTTTTGTTTTTTTTTGGTTTTTTTTTTTTTTAAACTATGAGCCTGCAGTGGAGGGGGAGGCCCTTGGGCTGAATCCAACTCATAGATATATATATTGCTTGCTCTTAGTGTATTTGGAACATGTAGTAAATAGTTGCCACCATTTAAAATTTGGAAAACTCACATTTAATAAGTCTCCATTTCTAGCATCACTTGAGAAATCACAGTTTGCTGTTACTGCTTGAGAGTAGATTGCTCGTGCTGAGTAGTGGTTGCCCTTTTCAGGTGAATTCTGAGTTCTCCATTTTGCTTTAACCTTTGGTATTATTTGCTTGGCATCTGGTCTAGATTTTACCCTGTACGTAATATGCAGGCTTCCAAGCCTGAAACTTGAAGGGAAAAGAAATAAGGAAATCTATTGGGTCGTCAGGAAAGTCATGAAGCTTTTTTTGCATTGAAAAGCATAGACAAATACGTCATGACTTTCCTGACGACCCAATAAATAATACCATTTTTCCCCTTAAAAACCATCTTACTGTTTCTACAAAAATGAAATCATTCTTAATTAAGTCAAATAATTGTTAAAGTTAATGTTAGGACATGTAGTGTTCAATAACTTTGTCACTGTTTACATTATAACTATGGGTGAGTCATAATTTCTTTATAAAAACGGGGGTGAGAATTGCAAAAATTAGTTATGGACAGAGTGGTTGCTGACCAGGACCCAGATTTTGTACCCTATTTGTATGAGTAGTAAAGCAATGTAATAGATACTTAATTTAAGGGATTACAACAATGAGTAAGATGCCCCTTTTCTCAATGAGTCTCTCTTCCAAAAGAGTTTTAGATCTAGTAGACTATTAGGTAAACCAATTATTATGATTCAGGTTAGATTAAAATATTGTGAGTGAAGTGTGAGCAAAGGGTCATGGGGGTTAAAATAATAAGAAATTTACATAATTAAGATCAGTAAAGTCTGAGGAAAAGTAGTGTGTATGTGTTCCCTGCTGCTTAGCTTATTTTCTGAACAAGAGGTTATTGGTTCCTATGCGCTTTGCCTAATGATTCTATCAGGTAACAAAGAATTATGAGTTAAACAAGTATGAACTTTTGACCCTAGTGAAGAGTCTGTCCTACTGAATTCTTAATTATTTACCTGTGGTCTGGAGGGAGGTTGAAGGAGGTCCCTGCAGTTACTGAGACTACAGAACATAGCCAAAGGCTAGAATTGGTCTGGATCTTTGAGAACCAGGTAAACATTGACAGACAAAAAGAAAAAGGATATCAGTAAATTAGGAAGAAGAAAGGGAAGAGAAGAGGAGGCTTTAGGTTGTTTGGGATTTATCTCTTTACTGGCCATTAGGGAAATAAGAGCGAACCTTTAAGAGCAGCTCAAATACCCAAAACGATACCTTTGGGGTAGAGGGGACTTGTAATGATTATTAACAATAACAATTATTACTGCTGACATTTCTTGGTTGCTTACTACCTAACAGGTACTGTTCTAATTTTAGGTTTACATGTGTTGTTTTATGTGTTGCTTCACTCCAAAACTTAATTGCTAAAATAATATGTATTTGCTCTTGATTCTAAAATGTGGGTAGGGCTTGATGAGGACTGTTCTATTTGTCATATCTTTGCTATAACATTCAAGACAGCTTCTTAACTCATAAGTCTTGTGTCTCAGCTGGGATGGCTCAAACAGCTGGGGGATAGCTGGACATCTCTCTCGCTCTGCCTCCCTCCCTCCCTCCCTCCCTCCCTCCCTCCCTCCCTCCCTATTCCCCCCTCCCTCTCTCCCCCTCTCCTCCACCTTTCTCTCCCTCATACCTTCCCCTCTCTCCCATAGCTTCTGTACCTCATTAAGCTTTAGCTTCTTCATAGCATGGCAGCTGGGTTCCAAAGGGGAGCATTCCAAGAGGACACCCTCTCTGTCAACATTTATCAAGCCACTGTTCTTCATGTGTGATAATGTTCCAGTGGCCAATGCTAATCATATGACCAGATTTAGTATGGAAGAGACTGTACAAGGGATTTAATACTGAAGGTGAGATTTCTTGGGGGCATCAGAGTTAAAGCCTGCCTCATGTATTCCTTTACATGT